ACAGGTTTTTCGGCCCCATCTTCCATAGCCCCTACTACAGGTTCTTCGACCGCATCTTCCATAGCCCCTACTACAGGTTCTTCGACCGCATCTTCCATAGCCTCTACTACAGGTTCCTCGGCCGCATCTTCCATAGCCCCTACTACAGGTTCTTCGACCGCATCATCCATATCCTCTACTACAGGTTCCTCGGCCGCATCTTCCATATCCTCTACTACGGATTCTACCACTGCATCTTCCATAATTTCCTCTATAGTCTCTATTACAGGCTCTTCTGCGGTTTCCTCAACGAACTCTGCTGCGACCTCTTCCGCAGTCTCCTGCTGACCTATAGATTCCTCCTTTAATTCCGCCAGGACCTCTACTAACACATTTTCATTTAACTCTACTTTTTCTTGCATATTCTCCAATACACTTGCCAATATATTTTCGTTGGCTTCTATTTTCGACCCAAAGTTTTCTAACAAGCTTTCCTGGACTTCCTTTAGAACCTCCAAAGTGTTTTCATCCCCGCCCTCGGCTACACTTTCGGTTACACTTTCGGTAACACTTCCGTCTGTCGTTTCTTCCAGATTTTCTAGTACTTTCTCTTTTATTTCTTCGATAACATCAAAAATGTCTTCTTCTGCGGGTACTTCTTCTGCACTTTCTGCCGAAGCGTTCGACACTTCTTCCGTAATCTCCTCGGCCATTTGGATATTAGTCAACAGATCTTCTTTTATTTCTTCCAAATCTTCTAATACGCTCTCATTCACGTGTGCGCTTCTTTCCAAGCGTTGTACCATATCCACTAGCACGTTCTCGTTATCTTCCACTCTTTGTTCTACATAGTCTAAAAATTCTTCCTTCATTTCTTTTATATCCTCTAATGGATTTTCACTTGCTTCTTTATTTTCTTCTAAATTTTTCAATATATCTTCTTCGAAAGTTCTGTGTGCCACACTCGCGGTTGTTTCCTCAGGTGCTTCCGTACGTAATTCCAGAGCATCTTCTTCACTAACTTCTGCAGTAGCATCTGCAGTTTCTCCCTCAGCAGTTTCAACTACACCAGCTTTAGTGGTAGTATCTACAGCTTCTTCAGAAACCTCTTCAGCTGCTTCTTTTGCGCCTTCTAATAGGGCTTCGGCTGTTTCTTCATTTACTTCCAATTTGTCTACTATGCTCTCCTTTATTTGTTCTAATATGTTTAATATATTTTCATTTGCCTCTTCCTTCCCTATTAGTACTTCCTCTGCAGTTTCCTGCAGAAACTCTTGTCTAGCTTGTCCTACTGCTTCTTCTTCGACTATCCCGTGCGGCTCCTCTATTTTTTCCTCCTCCATCACCTCATCTGCAGCTTCCTGTACAGATTCTACAGCCTCCTGAACATATTCCTCTGGAACTATTTCCTCAAGCTCTGTATTTGTCTCTAAAGGCTTCTCTATTTTGTCTTCATCTTCTATCACTTCATCAGAAGCCTCCTGTATGACTTCAACGGCTTCCTGGATATATTCATCCGTAGCTACCTTGGCTGGCTGTTCTATGAGTACCTCATCTGATTCCCCTGCAATTATTTTGGGTGAATCCCGCACTTCTTCATCCTCCAGGACTTCATCTGCAGCTTCTTGTACAGATCCTATAGCCTCCTGAACATATTCATCTGCTTCCACCTTGGAGGGCTCCTCTACGACTACATCGGAAGGTTCATCTCCTTTCACCTTCTCCTCTAGGATCTCGTCGGCAGTTTCTTGCACAGCTTCTTCTACAACCTCCTCTACTGGTTCGACAACATTGTTTTCCACGTTATCGATTAACGGAACACCTGATTCTTCAACCTGTACATCATCGAATATGCTGCTAACGAGTTCCTCAATTTTTTCTTCTTCTACACTCTCTTCTACGTTATCGAATGTGAAATTGACAGGCTCCTCTACTTCTTCTTCACCCTTTTCTGCCTTATCGAATGTAAAGGTTACAGGATCACCTAATTCTTCTACATTTTCTTGTAGGCTGTCGAACATGGAACTAACTGGTTCCTCAACCTCTTCTACATGCGCTTGCAGGCTATCGAAAATGGGGGCACATGACTCTTCCTCTTCTACAAGCTCCAGCACATTATCGAACATGGATGTGTCTGGCGCCGTTACTTCTTCTGTGTTATTTGCACCACTATCGAGGGTTGAGGCAGCTGATTCTTCAACCTTTTCCACATTTTCTTCTACACTATCGAATATGGGAGCAGCTGGTTCCTCAGTTTCTTGCTCATTATCCTGCACACTATCGAACAAAATGGTCGCTGGTTCCTGTGGCTTCTCCTCGCTTGTAGGTGCTACACTATCTACTGTAGGAGTGGCTGGTTCTTCTACTTCTTCTACGCCTTCTGAAACATTATCAGCTATACTGCTAACTGGTTCCATCGTTTCTTCTAGATTATCGAATAAGGAAGGAGCGGATTCCTCGACTTCTGCTCTTTCTGCTCCATCGTCTATTATGGAAGCATCCGCCTGCTCAACCTCTTCTACATCCTCCTTCACATTATTGAATATGGACGTGGTTGGTGTGTCTGTTTCTTCCACATTGTCCAGTGCATTATCTAATGAAGTGGCATTTGATTTCTCCATCTCATCTTCCTCTTCTTCCCTGCCTGCATCGTTATCGAAAATGTTGTTATTCACTGGTTCGTGGTTTTCTATTTTGCTAACCACATCGCTAGTTCCTTGTGCTTCGACGCTTTCATCACCTTTGTCACCACTTGCTTCCTCTACATTACTACCTTCGTCCCCACCTTGCAGTCGCTTCTGCAGATGCTCTAAAAGATATTCACTTAAGTCTTCGTCGTTCTGTAATTGGTCCATACTAATTTTATTAATTTTTATATCATCACTTTCGGAAATTCCCGTGGAAGTTTCATATGAGTAGTTATCACTGAGTTCATTCTCTAAGACGCCATTTCTGGTTGCTGCAAAATCGGATTCATTTATTCTCTCATTTTCTGCTAATGATCTTGTTAAGGCCACATGTCCTTGGTTGTATAATTGTCCATTCTGGGGGTTCCACGATTCATGCGAGCCATTCTGGCGAAGGGGGAAAAAAAAGGAACCATTGCACAGTGAAATCCGACGAACCACGAAGACGAAGCATCGCAAACAGTGTGCATACATCCATACACATAAAAGTATATGCAGGAGTAGGGCTGTGAATCCCTATTCTGCTATGTACTCCTCTTATGTTTCTGCGTGCCTACCTCGCAGGGGCCTCCAGGCGATTGCGACACCCATATCAAAACAGCGCAAGTAAGTGCTTTGAACAAAAAAGGAAACCTATTCACTTTCTCCCTCATGTGACATTTTCTCAAAGTGGACATATTTGTTTTGTTAAAAATGTTACTCATACGTTGATTACTCTTTTCATTATGTGTAAATAAACTCCTGTTGTAACGTTCATTTATCATTTTTATGGAATCTTCTAGATGTAGAAAAAAATAAAAGATTCAAAGTAATTTGCATATATGTTACTGTTGTGTCCTTCCTCTTCGTGCTTCTACGTGTACGTGTGCGAAGCGGTGAAAAAAAAATATTTGGAAAATGTTTCTTCTTCTAACTTGTCATAAGAAGGTACTTAAAAACATTTTATTAATTTATGAGGAGAAAAAAAAAAAAAAGATGAAGAAAAATTCATAGAATCTGCACGTCAAGGACGCCTGGCACTAAAAACCCAGGTTACAAATGTATATGGTGCACCCTTACCCGTACGTGACTGTGTACAAATTCATGTAGGAATAATTCTACACCGACGGGTAAGACACACACGTATGACCACTTAGCCGCTTTATATTCGCATGCTGTTCGATGGAGACTCTTCCTTTGCGAAAAAATGGGGAAGACGAAAACTACGGCCAAATGGAAGGGTACGAAATTAGAATATGAGAAGGTAAAAGAGTGCGAGGACAAGGGGTAAAGGTGAAAAATCAAAATGGAGAGTTGAAATGTCAAAATGAGCAATGCCAAATGTTAAATGTAAAAATCAGAAAACGAAAAAGAAAAAACAGAAAGCGATTACAGTAAACTCGAAAAAATTGGCATGTTTTTCCACCACGTAACTCTCCATAGATATAAAACTGGAAAAAAAGAAACTCATAGAATTCAAACTCCCCCAATAACAAAAGGTGAATTAAAAAAAAAAAGCTTGCTCCTTGCTCATCGACACCTATGTATATATATGGTAAATCTGCATATATCTATACGCATAGCTCACTCCATATATATGTGCCAAGGCATGTGAACATTTTTTCTGCCTGCCATTTCTCTCCTTTCTTCTCATTTCTTCAATGTATATAAAGCTTCTAAGGAGTGCATCATGTAAAAAAGTTCGCACTTCTACGAACTTATACATAACATCCACGAAGTTTCGATTGTTATAAAATTGGGATGGAGGCTTCCCAACAAAAGGAAATAAAAAGTTCGCAAAAATTGGCTTCTGCTTCTACCTTTTCTCAAAATTAAAAGGCATGTAATTTATTTCACAAAATTGTGCTATAAAAAAAAAAAAAAAAAAAACGCGAAACGGGATAAAGGCATGAATGGAAAAACATAAACCTAATAGGCAGATTAACTTGGGTGACTGCTTATTTATAAGCCCTCTCGTCGCATTAGCGTCACTAGAAATGCTTTTCTACATATATTTTATAATATATTATATATCTATATATATTCACATATATGATATATATACCTTTAGATGTACATGTTGCGGGATCTTTTACGTGTACTTTAAGTGCGTTAATATTTACGTAAAACTTTATCTTATATGTATGTACGCGCTAGAGTAACTCTCCTTCTAGGTTTTACGCTGCCCCTTTTTTGCTCGCTTCAAAAAAAAAAATGATTACTTCGTCGTGAGAAGTATATACTTTTATACTCGTAACAGAGTGTTAACAATAGGTTTTCTAAAAAAAACTCAGCCAAAGAAAGAAAAAAAACAGACTTGTAAGGTTTGGGTACTTTTGCCGCCACCCTAGAAATCTAACACCAGGGGAATAAACTTCCTACATGCAAAAATAGTTTGCACAAGCGGGGCAAACAATATATACGTACAATTACATATTATTCATATATAATATAACCATGACTGCTTAATGCAGGGCGTTTAAACAAAAAAAAAAAAAAACATTACTACTGCGTGTTATTAACTTAACAGTACGCGTAAAAATATATCTATTAGCACCTTTAAAAAAAAACAACCCCAACTAGTTATCACCACTGCGCCGCCTAATCCTCGTTCCAACAACTGAACACAATATATTATTCCTATAAGCAATTTTATTAACAAAGTGCAACGCCCCCCCAAAAAAGAAAAAAAAGGAAAAAAAGGAAAAAAAAAAAAAAACAATCTGGGACTCACAGGAAAGTTATATAAAAAATGGAATAAATGCCGTTATGAAAATGTACCTTTAAATATTCGTTTACCACGCGAAGAAAATTATGCCAACTTCTAAATTTGCCATTTTTGCAAATATAAAAGTACGGGATCTCCTCTTCTTATAAAATGTACTTCTTCACTCCAGCGGGAATGGCTTCAGTAATCACTGTCAAATTGCACTGATAGAAATTTCCGAAAACGGAGTGGCCGCACCTGCTTAACCATTTTGTTATCAAACTTTTTTTCTTTTCTCTCTCTTCTGGCTAAATAGATGAAAAAATGGCTCAACGTTTTTCACGCAGAGTGCGAAAGCGTTATAGCCACAAATCAAGGTCAGACGCGTCGATGTAATCGGTGACTCGATGACTTCTGCACAACTCCCTAGCGGCATGATCTCATTACAATTTAACCTTCTAATAATTTAGCCCTCTAATTACAATGAGCACGTGCAAACACAGGAAAAATCAAAAATGGGTGATCGCTCAGGTGCACACAGGTCAGCGCAGGATGTTCATTTACTTGGGTTACCTTCCCCGATGGTCACTTGAAAAAAAAGGCTTCATTTTCCTTCTTTTTTTCTTCCTCCCAGAAAGGATAAAATTAAGCAAATTTTTTTCTCTTTTTGAATTATTACATATACGTATTTATACACCCACACGTGACCACTTTTACGACTGCACAAATCTGCTACTCTCAAATGAACCATCCCCAGGCCTAGTTGAACAAGGGGGCTAGAAGCCAATTGCCCACTAGAGCAGCCATGGTACCCCTTCCTCAGTGGGCACATAATCCCATGTACGTGCACTCATCGTGAGCATATAAGAACGAACTCTCTTCCTGATTTCTACGCCCCAATAGCTCCTCCTCATTTGCAAAAGAAAATGAAAAGATTTATGGTTCTGCATCTTATCGTCACCACCCTATCATTTAACACCCCATTCTTAAAATATTCATTTGTATATTTCCCAGGGGAGTATTTGGCCTCCTTTATGACAAGACGGGCAAATGCTGTGAATCGTGTATAGGTTGTGATGATAGAAGCCGCTAAATGTGGGAATGGTGGAGATGAGAAATACCATTTTATGGCACCCGTTTAACGATTCTCAGTCCACCCACCATACATCACGCATCTTAACAGTTCCTGTACTAGTGATATACGTAACGATCGATTTGATTTCATTTTTTTTTCTTGTAACTGATCGATCGCGTGAACCGGTATTTACTTGGGGTTCACTTCAGATGAATACGAAGTGTGATCCCTTCTTATGTTCGTCATCCTTCCCCGCCCCCCACATTATGCTGTATCTGTCCCCAAACGGTCTACCCTGTGTTCTGCCATTACATAAAACTGATTAGGTAATAAAACCATCCGTAATTAGAGAGTACACTACACCTTGGCTGGGTCGCTTCCCGAAATCGCTCACCATCAGGTTAAAGTTATGTTCCTGTTTAGCCATATAACTCATTTTTTCCCTTTCTCTTTTCTTCTTTTCCCCTCCCTACACGCTTAAATGAATCCCGCGCCACCTCACCAAAAAAGAAAATAAAATAAATGTTTCCATAACTCTTCCTGCCAGGGGTGGGAAGTACACACGTATGTGTCCACGTATATGTGCGCTTATCTATTCACCAGCTCATTCGTGCACTTTTCTAAGCGGAAAATTCTAACCCCCCTTGGAAGCAAATCCTTCCTTGTAAGCGACACCAATGTGTGTGCCCCTTCGCTTCCCTTCTTTGGCAGTACTACTACTACCTACAATGCAGCTAATTTTGTGCTCCTTCCCAAAGAAGAATATCCGAACCGTAAGAAGCATTTCTATATTTCCTCTTTTTATGTGCATGTCAGCACCGGTGGGGCTAGCCAAAATTAGGCAACCAAATGGGGACCCCACTATGAGTACCCCTATTTTTTGCGGATAATATAACGCCTTCCTTTCGAACCAGTTCCGCAGTTCGCCCCCGATGATCTTTTACTTATTCCACATTCTTTTTATATAAAATTTGGTGAAATTATTTGTTCATTTCTCATTTCGATTAAGCGCAAAGTTGCCTCAACAAGTGGATTGGACACCCGGGAGTGAATTTACAAGGAGGGGCATCAACGTGGTGCGAGGAAAAGCAGTCAATCGTAAAAAAAAAAAAAAAAAAAAAAAATAAAATAAAATAAAATTGCAGTCATAATAGTAACACTAAGTGAACCCCACGGTGTATACATGATAGGCCTTAGGGGGAAAGCCCCACAGACACCCACAACGGCGCAACCGTGCCAGCCTTCTTGTTCTGTGATCGACGCGTAAACGGACAGGGTACAACTACTAAGTGGTTTTATTTAAATTGAGCTTCCAAAATGGGAAGAGAAGTGGTGTAAGTTTTTTTTTTAGGCCATTAAACTATTCCCGTCGTGGGGATAAATAAAAGGGAACGCGCAACGCACACATACATGAGGACATATATACACGCACACACCGGCACGTGCGTCCCCGACACTCTGCGCGCCGGAGATCACCGATGAGAGGAAAGGCAGTCATGGAGGGTATTGAAGGTACAAAAAAAAGGCAAAAATGGAAACAAAGGAAAATGGAGGCTTCAAAAACCACATACATATGTATATATATATTTATTAGGGGATAACATAAGGGGGAACATATGTGCATGTCCCCTCCCGACCTCCGCGTTTCGCCTCGGCCTGCCTACCAATCGAATTGACCAATAGATGGAGGATCCGTCTGGGGAAAAGTTAATTTTTCATACTCACCTTGACGAATTCACTCTGGGGAGCTGTCCGTCTCTATCTTTTCTCTTTTTACACTTCTAAGCAGGGCTAAATAAATATACATAAATATTTGCGTGGACCCCTTTTCGAGAAATGACGTGGAGAACAGCCCCTCAGGGGGAACGAAGTAATCCTCCACTGATGCGCGGTCCAATTCCCCTCGTCCTTGTACACGCAGGCAACCTAAGTGCTTGAAATCGACATCTCACTACGTATTTTTAATATTTTATACATCAAGTAGCACGTAGATATGAAGGGCAAAAAGGCTATGCTCAAACTAATCACTGTGGTGACAGCTTTGGCTTTAAAATAGTAAAAAGTGGCAGCGGCAAGAGTACCCAACACAGGGGTTGAAAAAATCTTCAATCCGGAAAAGAATTTCTTTATTTTTTCGTAAAAATTTAAACCACTTTCCATGGGCTCATTCTTCTCATCATTGATATATTTTAACGTCCTTATAATTTCTTTTTCCAAAATTAGATCGATTTTTTTTATAAATGCCATTATTTTTGATACTATGTTTCGTCTCTGCTGCTCGTAAATATTTTCTATCTTATCCACTATGTTTTGCTCCAACGTCTCATATGTTGTGTTTGGATTTTTTAAGGATTCGACTAGAATTCTGTTGCCTTTTGCCTTCGTGGGGTAGTAGCTCCCCGTTCCTATGCTTCCGGGAGCGCCATGGATATGTGCTCCAGTTTGGTGGGCACTCATCTGGAGGGATGGTCACATGAGAGAAGAAAAGTAATGAAAAAGAGAGCGTTCATTTGTAAATGCGTTTAAATAAGAACAAAAGCAGAAATGTGTACATCATTCTATGCAATATCTCAGTGGCAGACACTTTTTTTCTTTTTTTTTTCTCTTCTTTTCAACTTACACTAGGCGAACAGAACTGCCACAACATGACGAAACTCACAAAGACGAAGGCCTTCACAAAAAATGGGGCAATGCTAAACCTCTCAAACTTATATCCCCCTTTTGAAGCACACACATTGGAATCCTTACAAAAGTCATCCACCTTTTTATCCACATATTTGCAGCCCTCATAATAAGTCGCAGCTGCGGAAGGATTACAATGACGTTCAGAATTTGTCCCCATTATCTGTTCACGCTTGTAAATAAAAAAAGGTGGCAACATAAAATGTTAATAAAAACAAAAAGGGGGAGGCGGGAAAAAAAAAAAAAAAAAATTGGCGAAATGAGAAAGGGGATACTCGATTCGTGTAATTGGAACACGGTTAGCTAAACAGTAAACTAGAAAGCGTGAAAGATGAACGTTCTTCATATAATAAATAATAATTCATTGAGTTATTTATTTTCACTTATTTTTACATCAGCACGACCAATGAAAAAAGAGAAAAAAAAAAAGCGAAAAGTGAACATGTTATATATACGCTATTCTTAGAAGGGAATAAAAAAAAAAAAGAGAAGAATAATCGGTTCCAACTTTCTAAAAAAGCTAATAAAACAAAACATGAGATGATGCATCTGCCCCAGCTTGCTTTTCCTTCTCTGCTTCCTCACTTTCTTCGCTTCTTTCCTGCTATAATTTTTGAACCGCTTTTTAACGTGGAGGTAATTTTGCGAGTACTATTTTTATTAAGCATAAAAACTGATCTTACTAAAAATACTAGGCCCATTGGTATTTTATTCATTCACGTGGCTACTATTTTTTTTTTTTTTTATTCATATTGAATGTAATATAGCCGTCGTAGTGTGCGGCAGTAGCGCCGCAATAGTGGCAATACCGTCGCAGTACCACAGCAGTATGGCAGTATAGCAAAGAGAAAGAAAAAATAATCAACAAAGATGGGGACTAAAAATGATGCCATAAAATGCAGTGATAAAAAAAAAAGTGAAGCCTTGAACTTTTTTACGAAAATTTGGTTTTTCCAAAAAAGAAAATATTTTACTCCATCAACCATAAAAAGGGCAGCAACATCTTTTCTTCCCTTTACCTAACTGAACTAATATACAAGTTTTAACAATTTCTAGAAAGAGAAAACGCATTATCGAGGTACTTCGTTGGGTTTCCTTTTTATGCCGTCGTGTTGTTGCTACCAAACGAAACATGAGCTCCGAAAAATTATGCTCACAAAAAAGTGGAAGGAAATAGTTCTAAGGGGAAAAAAAAATCTAAGGATTGTCACCAGCCAAACGTTGACGTAGCAGTAAATAACAAGTTATGCAAAAAAGCAGTGCGCAATGCGACTTACGCGTTGCCAATGTTTCCCATCTGTATGCATAAGGGTGCAAAAAAAAGAAAGAAAAAGGAAAAAAATCATATCTTACTACGGCAAAGTGACTCAGAAACGTACCTACAACTCATTTTTTTTTTTTTTCTTTTTTGCAAAAACAAGGGAAGCTGTGCATTTCACGCAACTTCTACTTCAGTGACACTGAAGCATACTTCAATAGGAATATGCACATGAGGCAACCTTCTTGCTATCCTAAGATCGATCATTTGACTCATACATATAGAGGGGGTCAGATATAAAACAGCTATTTACTCTTTTCCTATCCACTCCTGCATGTACATATCAACATGTACCTTCTCCTCTTAGACACCACCGCATGGCATGCAGTCCAAATTCACCCCTCTTCTTCTCGCCCCCTCAAAATTGGTGACAACTAGAGAAGCCGAAAATTCAAGCAGAATGCACCTCTCGAGTGGGGTTAGCACTACTTCTTTTTACGATAAAACAAAATGCACCAATTTATGTTTCATAACAATCCGGAAAATGAGTTCTAACAGAGTAAATAACTTCATACACGGATAAATTTCCTTTCTGTTTGAAAATATTTTTATTTAGCCTCTTTAACAAAGTGGCGTATCCTCTTGCCAGCACGCATTAATATTGTCCTGTGTCATTTTTGCGTCAGCATTTTCCGCAGCTGCGCCATTTCATTGGCACTAACCTTTCCACACACACGTAACACTGCTTGTATCATGTGTCGTCCCCATACCGTTTTGCGTGCTACTCGGCATCTGTGTGGTTCCCCACTTGGCCATTCTGTTGTAACAAGCTCATATCAGTGGAGAAACGCTGACTAGGCGAGGGTAGGAAATCGAACGCTGCAGGAATTGTGCACACTTGCGTGAAAAAAAAGCTCCATCAATGTGGCTCTCAAGTCAGGTAAATCAAATATTTCTCCTCATACGTTGACACCGCGCATTTCATGGGTATATTTTCAACCATATGCAACCCCTGTGCAATTTCTACACATTATGCTGATTTCATATGCGCAGATAAAACTGCCATTCTGCGTGGTAACAATAGACCATTGAACCCTGCACGGAAAATTATGCTAGGGTTACATTACAGAAGTGATTTCTCTTTTTTTTCGAAATATTCTTACAAGCTTAGTGTACATAGGTAGGTTCATGGGTCATGTGCTCTTCTTCCGGTTCTACGCTTCCCCCCTCAAGCATGCACAAAAGCGTAATTTGCTAGGTCCTCTCCAACATCATTTAAAAACTACAACCATTCTATAGCCAGGCAACAATCCAGCAGAACATATATGTAAACACAAATGAACGGAAAAATATATTATACTTTTAGGTAACAACTTCTACCTTGTCGTACTGTACGTGTAACACCTCCACGTGGGAGTGTCCAGATCCGATTATACAAATGGGAAAAAATAACTGCCTTTGACTTCGCGATGGACGCCGTGTTCCTGCGGCGCCACGGTGGTGGATGAAGGAGAAAACACGGGTTATCGCAATGTTACCATGTTATCATGTTATGATGCCACGATGCAATGATGCGTTAGTTTGGCAACAGGTTCGTGGTTGCACATTCACTTCTATCGTCAGGGGTACCCGATCATCATAAATAATAACAACAATGATTACAACAATAGGAATAAAATGAAGAAGTCGAACAACAACAATATTATCATTGCCCCTATTGTTGTTATTTTCACCGCCACTTGTGCTGTTATATTTTTTTCTGCATCCCTAAGCCGCCAAATTAACCGCCCTTACAACGGAGTCCTCCCCGAGGGGCACAGTCTAAAATTAGCTTTTCTTCCAACAAAAAAAAACCCACTTTATAATTCGATTAAGGCTTAGATTTATATTTCGATTAAGGATTAGATTTAGGATTATATTTAAGTTTAGATTTAGATTTAGGTTTAGTTTTATGTTTAGATTTAGGATTATATTTAAGTTTAGATTTAGGTTTAGATTTAGATTTAGGTTTAGATTTAGATTTAGATTTAGGTTTAGATTTAGATTTAGGTTTAGATTTGGTTTTATATTTGGGTTTACTTTTAGATTTAGGTATAGATTTAGGTATAGTTTCAGATTTAGGTTTAGATTCATCTTATGATCTATATGGTGGCGTCCATATAGATGTAGACGAATCTTTCTTATTTGCCATCTCGTGAGGTGCAATTCTTTTTTTTTCTTTTTTATCCAATTTGGTAATTTATATAGCATATTTAAGATGGCAATTTTTTAGTTTAAAAAATAAGAAACAAATGTACGCAACAGCACAATACAGCACATCACATCCCAATTACCACTGGTGTTCACTTCCTCGAGGCTAAAAACTCTACTCCGAATTTGCCGCCATTATATTCCTCCTCTACACTCCCCAACCACAAGCGAATGGCGACTTTAACCAAAAAATGCATCACAGATGCGCGAGGCTGGATAAGGTGGTGCGCCCCAGGGCTTTCAAAGGATCGCTTATTTGTTTGTCCTGCCTGTTCTTCTAGCTAAGGCGATTAAGTAGGGGAAACCAGATCCAGACATTCCTCCTTTTATATTCCTATACCGTCGGCTGGACCCACATAAAAGGGGACACCCCGATACATTATGTAGCTTTGTACATATCGATGCACTCAGAAGTATATAGTTCTTTCTTCTTCCCCTAAGGCCACCCCTTCATCATAGTACCCACAAATCTGCTCCCAGGTGTTAAATCCAACCGTCATTATGATCTCAGAATCTTAGCTGAGGCGATCCCGTCAAATGAGGAAACACAACTGGAGGGTGGAAAGAAACGAAGAGGGGGAAAAATTGGAACACATGAAAACAGCATGCAGGAAAGCAGCGCCTAGTTCCACCATATCAAAGCGGGAAGCACACCCCAGAAGACACATCCAACACAGAGGGTACGCCCAGAAGGCCCAAAAATCGTTTTCTATGGAATTACAAGAAATCGATTGGGGAACTACAAATCGAGCAGTCCAAACTTGAAGAGCCAAAGGAACTAACAAAATAAAAAAAAACACAATCAGAGAAAAATAATGATCCCCACAATGAGAAAAACATTCCTGAGTACAGTATAAAACTGATGGAAGAAGGACTCCTCACTAGGTTAAATAATTTAAACGGAACCCTCTCTAAGGAATATGTGTAAATTCTCTGGTTTAACTTTCATAATGAGTGTCTTCGAAAGTACTATGCCATGATGGAGGAAGTGTGGATAAATGCAGAATCTTCTGCATCCCGCCGTAACATCCCACAACAAAATTTGCAAGAACTCTGCTGCAGAGTTTATGCCACCCTCATTACTGAACATAGAGAAAAGAATAAAAGTTGCGTAAACGACTTTTACGATTTGTTTGGCAAAGGAGAATGTACATGTGATGTGTACATATCTTCCCTGGAGGGAAGAAGGAATGTGTGCACCCACGCTATCAAAATGGTGAGGTTTAAAAGTGGTAAAACCTTATGCTCATTGTGTTGAGGAATTACTCCAACAAGACTTCCACAGGGGAAAAGACACAATTGCATTCAAGCCCCCGCACCCCCTTGTCCTACTACCTGTTGTAGACGACATAGGGGGGGAATTAAGCCAAGCCACAGAACGGATCATTCCCCACACTGACACAGTCCCCCAAGAGCTTCTTTACCCTCCTCTATCACTCCGCTCTGTTAACACGCATTTTACGAATGGTGCGAACAAGATTTATCTTGGTCCACTACTTTCCCGTTTTTATCGGTGAGCCATGGGTTAACCTGGTCATGCATGCATATAAATAGACAACAATTGTATGCAAACAGGGAGTTTATTCCAGTCACTCTTACAAATTCGTCTTCCCATTTGTTACTCACGGAATGGGGTAAAAATGGATTAAAAAAATGGCAACCGCACCAAACATGTAGACCAAGCAGGTACATACCCTTGTGTGTTTCCTACTCCCTACTGCTTCAGATTTGTTTTTTTTTTTTTTTTTTTTTCGAGGAGAATCAGTTTGTTAGATTACCCTCAACTGCTTTTATACTTCTTCTCAACAATGAGAAAAGAAGGCTGGGCTAGATGTCCTTCTTTTACCACTTTACGTTTGACTAACCGTAATCCTTGAAGCATACACAACTGCCCAGCGTTTTTGTAAATGGCTACACATTTCTGTGCCAAAAACGGGGAAAGGCAGTACCTCCTCGGTAACGCTTGTCACAGGATTGCACTCAGAGAAAGTAGCCGAGTCATCCCTCAGTGGTGAAGTCCCCGAACAATTTTATCCGTTCACTTCCTCGCATAAACGTTACATCTCCCACCTCAATTATCATTTGCTCTTTACCCATAGCCGCGAGGCTCTATATGCAAACAAATGGGTACATATCCCACTGTAGCCAGAGCAAGGGAAGTATGTCAACCGAAATGAGGCCAAAGAAACAGAAAAAGTCCACTTCTGAGGGACAAAACAACTGCACATACTCCGTTCGTCCGCTCTTTTTACCCCCCGAATGTACATAAAAAATTATTCATCAAATGAGAAGACGCTTCTAAAGTTGCACTGGCTGAAGCAACATTTTTGACGCACCCAACGTGAAGAAAAAATAAAATAGAATAAAAATAAATAATCCCTCCTCTGTGAAGTTTTTTTTTTTTTAAATTACCACTCCGAATGTGGGTCACCCCTCAGCGCTGACTTCGTAGAGAAAAAAAAAAAAAAAAACAATCACTCAAAGAGAAAAATGCTTCAATAAGTGCCGGTCAGTTTTACCTAACTGCACAGTTCTAAGAAATCTCCAGGCAAAAAGGTATTGAAAAAGAAAAAAAAGATTTTAAATAAGTTTAGGCCGTGATTATGTACCATAACTGCGTATAAGAAGAAAGATAAATGGCACCTCTCAAAGGGCGTTGTTTCTTTTCCCGGATGAAGAGGCCACCCCCCCTCTTTTTCTTACGTGCAAGGGCACTAAGTTTTTTTTTTTTTTCCCCTCGCTTCTCGAAATGGATGAAAGTACGCAGATATATAACTCGCCTCCCCTAGGCAGATTTATTCTGTTGCTTTTTCTACTGGGTCAAAATGTTCTAGCGGTCCTACACCTACTTAGGGGGGCGTGCACCATGGGGTATCTCCACATTCTGCATTTTTCTTTAAAAAATAAGTTCACTCACAGTGCGCGTTAATTGCCACTACAGCTTCTGACACGATGAGCACGGGACTGTCCTCCGTCGAAGCGACAACATCACGTAGAATACGGTTACAGGTTTGCCGCCTTAAATATGTATAATGGAATTCATTTTTTGTAAGCCTCTTAAGGGGTGTTGAAAAACTAGTAACTGCGAACACATATAATCCCTTAACATACTGCATGCTGAACGTAGAATATGCTCTCTTTTTTCTTCTGTTTTCCCCCCTCTCCCCCTTGCTGTTGAACAGCACCATAGCGACCTTTCCATTTCTGTTGAAACTACTAAACAGGAAATCGTTTCCTAGAGGATATTCACCTTTGCAGGGCAACTTTCGATACTTACATTTTTTCTTCTGTAAGGTTTCCGGGAGCTACACTGCCCAGTTGAACGGCCCTCATACCAATCACCCTACCGGTGATATATCTGCAGCTTAAAAAAAAAAAAAAAAAAAAAAAAGAGGACCTACTCCACCGATAACATTAAGTCAAATTCAAAGGATAGTAAACCTTCTATAAACGAATTTCGTTCACCAGGGGGAACACAAAGAGGGAGTCCTGTGCTAATGGACTGACCACCCCTCTAAGGGTTTCCATGTGCGCCTTCCTCCTCATTTTCCCAATCGTGATCTTAAAACCTAGGTGTAGTTCTAGCATGTGAGTGTGGACGCATATGTACATCACTGTGGACACAATACGCTCCTTTATTCCGTTACTTCCTCATTCATAACAAAACCACTTTTTACAAAAAGGAACCCGAAATTCCCTTGCGCACTCGCAGCACCCAGCGAAATTTCCTGATCTACATGCAAATTCAAATTTCTACTTCGGATTGAGCTGTTCGAATGGAGATAGAAGCTCAAGCAAGGCGATACTTGCACATCTGGGAGAAGTGGGAAAAGTGGAAGATGTGGGGAGAGAATCAAAAGCCGAGCTCACGGAAGATTCCTCGCACACCCCTGCTGACGCGCACCAAATGGAGAGCTAGATGACGCCCCTGACTCCTTCGCAAGATATGGACAGGCCAAGCAATTCCAGCACGAAAAGCCATATGCCCACCGAGTCCAAAACAATAAACCACCGGTACCAGCACGTCTGGACCTCGGACGAAGCGCTTTCCAAATTGAGACTCAAAATCAACAGGTACATCAACGAACAAGAAGGGGATCAAACGAGACACAAGAATGGAAACATCAGAACAGAGGAGAACATTAAAAAGAACCTGAAGACGTTCGAACGACAACTAAAGTAACAAATGGACACCTTATACTTCTATGTTAACAAAAAAGGCATGTACGAATTATGGGGAAATATTTACGACAAAAGGAGATATAAATACATAGACATGATAGAGACATTGTGGCAGAAATGCGTTCACCTAACAGAGAAGAAGCAAATCCCAAAGAAATTTTTATTTAAAGTTTGGTGGAAGGCTTACTCCGATTTCGTAGCAGAGCTGCAAAATTATGACTGCCTAAATCTCAGAAGTTTTTACGAGCTATATGACAAAAACCACTGCCCCAGATATAACTACATGGAATTCATCATGGAGAATAAAAAATCCTGGAAGGAATTCACCACAAGGATGAAAAATGAGTGGACGAATATATTGCTCTCCGAGTTAAGGGGCTATTCCAAGTAATCCTTCAAAGAGAGGGCGCCCGTTTGATGCTAATCCCATGGGGGAACAAAAAAACAGGCGCCGAAAAGGCGCAAAGAAGGATAGAAAAAGCAAAATCGTGTCCTCTTCAGATTCACGACAGAACCACCCACAGTTGCACACCTGTACAGGCTGCACAGAATGGAACCCCATTGCATTGCGGAACAGGAAAGATGGTGCCACCTCCCCAAGGCGTAAAAAACCTCCTTTCTACTCTACCCAGATGGAGACTTTCACTGTTCAGTAATTCGAGCAATGCATGTGGGCGTGGCGAGGAGCAGAGCGACGCGCACTAGGGCTAAAGAGGGAAATAACTTTTTCCTTTTCCCAAAATCGAAAGCTGTAGGTAAAGGTAAATTCATTTTATCTGATCGTATTTAGCTGCATCTCACTGTATCTCTTTTTTTTTTTCTTTCTTAAAATTGCAATGTCAGGGATGTCACGGTGTTTGATTAAACCCCCATTCGTCTGTTCTCCCCAAGGGTACATGCCTTATCAGTAGTAGACAGGGAAAAAAAAAAAAAGTTTGCCTGCATAAGTGAAAAAAGATAAATCGAATTAAATCAATTAATCTTCCTTTATCATTTTTTTTTTGCCATATATTGTAAAGAGGGGGAATTGCTGATCAATCACCTCTCTTAAATGAGAGGGCCTCAACCTGCTGGGTCAAAAATGCTGGATAAATTATCCCCATACAGAGAGAAATCTTCCCAGAAACAAAAAAAACTTCTCTCAATTTTTTATTTTTTTCTTAATGAATATATAAACAATCGATAGGGTAGTATACCCTACCCCCCTCCCATTTGTATTTCCTGCACAGTTGGGAAGCACCCTCCCTTTGTAAGTGGAGACACACTCTCTTTTTAAATAATTTCCATTCACTGGAGGAAGCGACGCAACGAGGAAAAAAAAAGAAAAAAAAAAAAAAAAAGGCGACACGTAAGCAAACGATCGCCGAGGGAGACGAAACAGTTTAGTTAGGAATCTTCCATAGAGAGGCAAAATTTTTAAGCGCCAATTTTCTGTGCAAGCGGCAAGGACCTAAACGATAAGTTCCACTTAAGGGTTTGGAAAAGATTCGCTTCAGCTAACTGGAATGGATCACTTCAGCGTCACTGCATTGGGTTTACATTTCTCATTTATATGTTTATTCATTTTATTTTTGGGCCACAGCTGCAATCACGCCGAAGGTCGCCACACCACGAGTTTAGCACACAGAAACGAGGGTTACAAAGACGAGCATGTTAGAGTGCGATGCATATGCATAGTTTTGGCGAATGGGGTGCACGATAGAATGCAGGCTCTCATGCTCCTATGTTCGCCTTCACTTTGAGACGTCAACCTGGGGTGAGGAATTTTTTCTCGTTTCCTTCGCCAGCGCCTCCTTGGTGTAGTCAATGCTGTGTGCCCGCTTCGTGTGCTTCGTTCGCTTCATTTTACCGATTTTTTGTTATCATTTTGCGCCACCATTTTGCGTTGCCCGTTGGCTCGCCCTCTCAGCTTAAGCACTCTTCTTTGCAATTTCGCCGTGCCACCTTGCGCTATTTCCGAACGGAGGGGATTCACACTCGCAAATGTGAATGCGCCCCTTTCTTTTCTCCCACCCCCCTGAAAATTTTTATCATCATAAAGGAACGCGGTAAGGGGAAACTCTTTTAAGAGCTCTCTTTTTTATTTTTCCCCATTTTTGAGTGAATTTTTTTTTTGCCCAGCGCTGCTCCTCTCCTTGAAGACATACCTCTCGAGGCCGCTCAGCCACACACACGAAGTATTCGCTTACTGCTGGCACTACGGCACCCAAAATGAGCTTCAAAGGAAAGAAACTCCTCGATGACGATAGAAGCAGCGATGTGGGAAGGAAAAGAAAGCGACTGAAAAAAGTGTCAAGCAGTTTGTTTGATAGCGACGATGACGATAACGTCAACGATTGGTTTAACAAAGGAGAGGACACCAATTCATCTCAATCCAAAAGCGTCGTCGAAATTAATGACGAGGAGGATGCCGAGCAGAAGGATACCTACTACACCACAGGGACGATTTCCAACAGATCACTGCCCCAAAACGCGTCAAGCAAACCCATGTACCATGACATAACGTCTTACTTCAAACCAAGTTCCAAAAAAATGGAGGACCAAACAGAGGCGGACACAGTCGGAAGCACACACAATGTGAAGGGCATTGCACGAGAAAACATAAGTCTCTTCGATATGGAAAGTAAAAAATTTAAAAAGGAGTCTCCTCATACTGGCACCGAGCTGAAGAGGCAGAGAGAAGAACACATATCCAACATGATAGACCAACACAAGTATAAAAGAAAACACACCTCTCCAGGGAAGGGAGAAATCAAAGAGGAACTCGACTTTAACAGTAGCAGCGGGAGTACCACAAAAAAGAAAAACTTCACCTCCATGTCCACTATCGGTGGAAATAACAACAAGGACGATGCAGCCAACAAGTTCGACTACCTCCCTTTTCATAGCCTCAAATTTGTGTTAACAGGCGTGTTTAAGAATTTTTCTCGAGACGAGTTAGGGTCCAAAATTAAAGAACATGGCGGAAGCGTTATGTCCGCTGTGTCGTCAAAAACACATTATCTCATTCATGGCGAGTACCTGGAAGATGGCCGAATGTACGACGAGGGAAGGAAGTACCAGAAGGCCTTCGAACTCCAGAAGATGAGCAAGTCCATTATTAAAATTCTGAATGAGGAGGAGCTGCTGCAGATGCTACCGCAGGAGAAGGACAAAGCGCCCAAGGGGGGAGACGCGGCTAACGGGGAAGACGGCCGAGATCAATTCGAAAAGAGCAGCCAGAGCGACTTCACCAAGATTAGAAGCGAGAGTGGGAACAACGGTGAAGCCAGCGGAAGTGGGAGCTATAAAAGTATCGCGTACAGCGAGAACAAGAACTCACCAAAGTTTGGTGCACCTGCGGATCAACACGAAATCCTCAATCAACTGTGGGTTGAGAAGTACAGACCAAAAAATCTGAACGAACTTGTAGGGAACAACCAGAATGTCCTCAAGTTAAAAAATTGGCTAGCGAGCTGGGATGATGTATGCATAAAGGGACTCAAAAAACAAGTAACGAAAACGTTTAGAGGGGTGTTCGAAAATGTCAATGCCAGGTGTGCCCTCTTGAGTGGCTCAGCAGGAATTGGAAAAACGACCACTGCAAAAATTGTGGCGGAAAGTTCCGGATATAACGTTATCGAATTTAATGCGTCTGATGAGAGAAACAAAGCGGCAGTAGAAAAAATCAGCGAAATGGCCACCGGGGGGTACTCCATTGCTTCTATCAAAAGCCGAAAATTGACCAAAACCTGCATCATTATGGACGAAGTGGATGGCATGTCTAGTGGAGACAAGGGAGGCAGTGCAGCAATCTTAAAGTTGATAGAAAAAACCAAGTGCCCAATTATCTGTATATGCAATGACAGGCAGAATAGCAAAATGAGAACATTAGCCAACAAATGCTACGATTTGAAATTTACAACACCAAACAAGAATAGCGTCGTGAAGAGGCTACTCGAAATATGCAAACAAGAGGATATTATGATGGAGCCCAACGCATTGGAACTTCTGTGGGAAAGCACAAATGGAGACTTGAGACAAATGCTAAACGCGCTGCAGTTACTCTCCAAGACGTATAAGCGGATCCAATTCTTGGACCTAAAAAAGGAATTAAACAATTCCAATAAAAACATACAATCCCTGGCTAACCCATTTGAAATAACACTAAAACTTCTAAATTTCCATGAGTCATCAAAATTAAAGATACGAGAAATCATGGACCTCTTTTTTGTCGACTATGAATTGATCCCATTTTTTATAAGTGAAAATTACACCAATGTATTTAATGACAATGATAAGTCTGCCGCCTCCATAAATAAATGGAATGCCTACTCTCAAATATCATATGATCTCACCCTGGCTGAGAAGATTAAATACAACATGAAAACGACAATGGACTTTTCTCTCCTTCCCCATTTTTCCATCCTTTCATGTGTATGTCCTGTCATGCGAATCAAAATGTTAAAGTCATTTATGTCTGGCAGAATTAACTTCCCTTCTGCATTTGGAAAGATCTCCACCTTCAACAAGAATAAGAGGCTACTAAATGAGGTATGCTTTAACATGTCCTACAAGCTGAATGTCTCTCCAAAGCACATGGTTACCTCGGGATTTTTAAATTATATATATGCCCAGATCATTTCGCCACTACAAAGTAACAACATAGCTAAGGCGATCCAACTAATGGAAGAATATAACGTCACCAGGGAAATGATCACGGAGAATATCCCCTGCTTGAGATTACCCACACAGGAAAATCTGTACGACAAATTGGACTCCAAAATCAAGGCATCCTTCACTCGGCTGTACAACGCTTCGCACGTTATCAAAAATGATCCTAACATAATGCGCAAGGGGATGAAGTCAACTGAGAAGAAGACTTCCTTCAAATTGAATGAATACGAATCCGATGAGGACATCGACGAGCTCAGTGAATCCAAGGAGGAGAAGGACGACGACGTACTGGTCACGAGTAAGGTGGACAAGAAGCCTGCATCCAAGAGCAAGGCCACCCCTCGCTCCAACACCAAGAAACGGTGACACTCCCTTGTGAACACCACGAATCGACACCAAGTCATTCCCTGCAATTGTGAAGCAACACACTATGGCGGAGTAGGGACATCTCCCCTTCTGGCCACCTCTCCGCGCCGCGCACCCGCAACTGCATTTTCTGTCACATGAATGTCAACTGGACCTGACTGCTCCTCTCCAAGGAGGCACCAACGCATGTGTCTCTTATCTATTCCAGCGCATGCAGGTACCTCCACCAGAAACGTTATGTGGTAACATGTATATATAATATATTTATAACCGCGTAACGTGACCTCGTCATTATTTTTCTCTCCGCCCCCCCATCTCTGCAATTACAACTTCCAACATGGCGCACCTACGCTAAGGCTCTTATCTCGCCCAACAGAAATGGGGAGAAGAATGCCCAGTTGTTAAATGACTTGGCACTTTTTTTTTTCTTCTTCCACAACTTTTTAAATGGATGATGTTCAAACTGGGCACGCCGTCTGTGTGCATTTAAGCATGTGTGTAGGTAGGCAAGCAGGCACATCCCGGCAGAGCTACTACCCTGCGCAGGCACTTCGACGCTTCTGTGCACCCCCCTGGCGCGGAACTCAGCTGGGCATTCCCCAAACAGTGGCGCCAATTTTGTGCATGGGTTATCCCACCCTGCGGCGAAAAAAAGCCAGCAGTTGCGTTTACCCCTCCCCCCGGGGAGTAAAACGTAACGCTTGTAAGAACCCACTTCAGTAGAGATAACCTACTGGTGGGGTGGGAATGCAAGAGGAAGAAAACCCCCCAGACGGGTGCACGCACTGCTCTGTGTCCGATTTACTTGCCTACGCGGTGGCGGAAAAATTCCAAACGTGCACGCTCGTGTTGAATTAAAAGGGTCCATGTTCAAATAAAAGGAAGCGTTCACGATGGCGTACCCTTCAACGTCGTAACTTAAAGGCGTGGTGTGTCAGGCGAAGGAAATAATGAGGGGGCGGCTATT